GGACCACCTATTGCAGAAAACAAACAAAGGACCACAAACTTTGTGCCTCAGACCACTCAAACAGTCACTGCTGGAATCACCAACAGACCAGTCCCTTCGCTGACTGAAGCAGCAAACATTTCTTTAAGTATTAGTCAGCAGAAAAAGAACAAAACCTCAGTCCAAGCCTCTGAAAATACAACGATGGAGGAAAATGCACAAGCATTCACAACAACAAATACACCCACCAGTGTGAAGGAACCCTCTGGTCTGGAGCTAAAAGACCAATTGCAAACCATAGCTGGCAGTACTTCAGCTAATCCAGGCTCTGTTGAACTAAATCCAACAACAAAGCCTTTAACTACCAGCCTGGAGTCTACTATGACCCTCACAACCCACGCTGACCCGACCACAGCACCAGTACATCCCACAACAGCTGCCACAACTGCTACCTCCACACAGGCTGCTACTACAAAACAACCAGAAGAAACAACATCCACCGACTTCTCAGGCTCAGATTTGCCACAGACACCAACAGCTTTGCTTCCTGCAGCATTAACTACCTCGTCTTCAACCACCACCACCACCACCACAACTACCACCACTACCACCACCACCACTACCAAACAGGCTGCTCAGGTCAAACAGAGATACAAAATCAGCTGGGAAGAGGAAGGACACATGGAACTAGACGAGCCGATGCAGAGGCATGAGGAATCCAGGCCAAAGAAACCCGGTAAATAATAAAAAACGTTGTGCCATCTGTGTCCACCTGCAGCCAGAGCCAGAGTATAGCCAGAAATTATTGTCAGCATATGTCACTTCAAATGTACGGACTTACCTCACATTTTCATTTAGAGAAACAAACTGATATTTGTTTGTGAATGACCGAACTTTACAAGACAGGGCTCTCTTCTCTGTGTTACCCCTCCCCTATTCCGTGATTCAAGCTGGTTAAAACAAAAGCCTTTAATTGTTTTCAGACCCTTTGACGTAGGTCTGGATGATGTTAAAGTGCCTTTAAAACTTCCCTCAGAGCTCTGTGTCTTCTTTACAGAGGAGTGCAAGGACACTTTGGCAACAATCTCCGAGCCAGTCACTCACAACACCTATGGCAGAAACGAGGGAGCATGGATGAAGGATCCAAAATCTGATAATGGCAAAATTTATGTGACAAACTTCTATTACGGAAACAACCTTCTGGAATTCCGCAACCTGGAAGTTTTCAAGCAAGGTAAGAATGTGTGCTTTTTGGAGTTAGAACTAGCTTTAATTTTACATTTTTTTGATAAGATGTAATAAATCTCATCGTCTACGTATCTTTTCAAGGCCGTTTCAGTAACTCCTACAAGCTTCCTTACAACTGGATTGGCACAGGCCATGTGGTCTATGGCGGGGCCTTCTATTACAATCGCGCCTTCTCCCGTGACATCATCAAGTTTGACCTGCGACAGCGTTATGTGGCTGCCTGGACCATGCTGCACGATGCCCTGTATGAAGACTCATCGTCGCCTTGGGATTGGCGTAGCCACTCGGACATCGACTTTGCTGTGGACGAGAGCGGCCTGTGGATCATCTACCCGGCACTGGATGATGAGGGCTTCTTACAGGAAGTGGTTGTCCTAAGTCGACTGGACCCCTCAGACCTCAGCATGCAAAGGGAGACCACTTGGAGAACGGGGCTCAAGCGAAACCACTTCGGGAACTGCTTCGTTGTGTGTGGCGTCCTGTATGCTGTTGACAGCTATAACCAAAGAGACGCCAACCTGGAATATGCCTTCGACACACACACAAACACTCAAATGATTCCCAGAATGCCCTTCATCAACAACTACACCTACACCACACAGATTGACTACAATCCTAAGGAGGGTGTTTTGTACGCATGGGACAATGGACACCAAGTCACATACAACATAAAGTTTGCCTATGTTGATGCTCAGTAAGGATCTGTTTTAAGTGTAATTGTTAATACTATGGTTTATGGATTGTAGATCAGTCCACATGGCTTCATGTATGGAGAGAAGCGAGGGGCCAAATGTATAAAATTCAATATATTGTGTTCAAAATTGTTCTTATTAAGATTTTTTTTGTATTTCTACTTAAAATAAATTAATAAGAATTACTCCTCAGTCGGCACATCAAGTTGCGCTCTATACTCTCATCAGCCACTTTACTAGGTATACACTGCTGCTTTAATTCTTCATGGCACAGACTCAAGAAGATGCTGGAAACGTTCCTCAGATTTTGGTCCATATTGACACGGTAGCAACATAGTTGCTGAACATTTATTAGCTGTACCTGCATGATGGCATTCAACCACATCTCAAAGGCACTCTATTGGATTGCGATCTGGTGGCTGTTGATGCCATTTCAAGTTAACAGTGAAGTAACAGTGAACTCATTGTCATGTTTAAGAAACTACTTTGAGTTCATCTGAACTTTGCGACAGGAAGCAGCCACCAAAGGATGGGTACACTGCGTCATAAAGAGATGGATATGGTGAGTAATAATACTCAGGGGCACAAAATTGGAAGAGAGCCTTTTGGCTCCTTCATGTTGTTTACACCACATTTTGACCCAATCATCTGAAAGTTCCAGCAGAAATGGAGGCTCAGACTAAGAAATGTTCTTTTCAATCTTTTCTATAGTGAAATGTCGATTAGTCTGTGGAGACTGTAGCCTCAATTTCTTGGTCCTTGCTGACAGCACCCAGCATGGTCTTCTGTTGTCGTAGTCCATCTGCTTCAAAGTACAACATGTGCAATCAGACATGCTCTTCTGCGTAGCTCGGTTTTAATGAGTGTTTGTTTGAGTTACTGATGCCGTCCAACAGCTCATACAGTTCTCTGATCTCTGGTATCGCTAAGGCATTTAGAACTGCTGCAAACAGGATATTTCCTCTTTTTTTGGAGCATTCTCTATAAAGCCTACATATGCCTATGTGGGAAAACCCCAGTAGTTCAGCAAAAATATACAGACCAGCCAACCTGGCAACAACAACCACGCCAAGTTCTGCAAAGTCTCCTAAATCACCTTTCCCCATTGTAATGTTCAGTTTCACCAGTTGGATAGGGTCGTTTCCCCAATGCCTAGATGCACTCAGTTGCTGCAGTTTGATCGGCTGCATTAATAAGCAGCTGAACAGGTGTACCTAACAAAGTGGCCGGTGAATGAACATCGGGATGCTATAAAAGAGTAGCTGAATAATGTCGAAATGTTTCTGATGGACAGCTCTGTTCAAAGAAACAGAATTCATACACAGTTTTGTATCCTTTTTGAACTTTCAGCCTTATACGCTACACATCCTCCCTCCATATCAGACTGCTTTGAGGAGACTGCAATAAAGTTTTGAGATGCTAACAGAAAATGTCTTCATTGTCTGGCTAAACATGGATAACACCTAATTGGCTCTAATCATAGCTTGCAAGTATTAATTAAAGTCAAATGCTGTGAGGATAGAAGGAAACCAGGCAGGAAAGGACTAAAAAGAAAAGAACATAAATACAGACATAAAATGAATGACTGTTCAAACCTGTAATTTAAACCACTGTTACTGGTTGTAAAGTTATTGTGGGCGAAAATACCCTGGAACAGCTTTTCTACCTGAGGAAAAAAAATCAAACGTATTCTGTTTAGGGTTTCCCCTAACAGCTCAACAGGTACGAACACACGGCTACAGAAAATCCAGTGTTTATTTTGGTTTCTGCACATACAAAAAAATAAAAATAAAACAGGTTTTTTTATTGTACTTTTTCTTTGCCCCCATATACAGCAGAGATGCAGCGAAAACACTGTGGTGACCCAAATGTACTTCTGTAAGCAGAAAGGAATTTACAGACAAAGAGAAGGCCTTTGTTGGCAAAGAAAGAAAGAAAAGAAGCACAGCACAATCCTGCAACGACAAGAAACGCACAGCGATACAGAGACGGCTTCGCTTTATCGCCATATTTATTATATGCGATTTATTATATAAGATCTGTCTCTATTCATAGCTTGACAAAAAACAAATAAGAAATTAAAAGCCAGAACAGTACATCCAATGTTCTGCATTAATAGTGCAAATTTTACCCTCAAGTTAGCAAAACAGATCATAGACCATCATAATTCTGCACAAAAATGCAACTGTTCTCAAACGCAGTAAATAAAAGCAGGAGCTGTGTGGACGGAGAAGTACTCACAGTTTGTTTTTTGAAACCAGAGGTTAAACATCAGGCCTTTAGTGTAACTATTAAGTGTTTATGCAACTGAAAAAGGCATTTTTTGCCATTATATCAATTAGGATTTATCGTCCTTCAAGTTCGAGTTAGTAAGTTGAAATTTTGATACAGAAAACTGAAACTTGTTGAATGTTTTTTTTAATTCAGTGGCAAAAACGAGCTTTTATAAGATATGATGAAGCTTTTTTTTTTATGCTCCGGGATAATAGAAACTAGTTTTTATGCATAAATAGATTTTCTATCTGCCATTTTTTATTTCATATATAAAAAAACATGTTTTTTGGAGTCAACAGGAATAACAAAAAAAGCTATTTTAAAAAAAAAATCACCAAAATAAAAATGAAAGAAAATAAAACTTGACTACTGAATTTTTCAAAGGAAAAAAAATGAGGGAATTGGATTAAACCACAGATGTGTGCTGTTACATAATAACAGCAATAAATATATACAATATCCAAACCTGTCCATGAATATAGAAACACAGCGAAGACCCGAAAAAATTAACTAGTGAAAATCTTCATCAACAGCAATAGAAACCAGCAGATAACAGAGCAATTAGCCAGATAGGGTTCAAAGATCACTTAACTTCCTGAGTTTGTGCCTCTGTTGCTGCAGATAACTCATCTGTCATGTCTGATACATCACTGATCAGATTTGCTTTATTCAGAGACAGAAAGAAATTATTATAGCACTCCATTTTATAGCAATCAGATACAAACAAACAGGTCATTTTAAATAAAAATGCATTTTTATAATGTATTT